AGGACCACCCCGAAACAGGAAGTTCACTTTTTGTTTTTCTTGAGGAAAAAAAAGAGAAAGCCCTGCTGGACCGCGTCATTCCTGCAGCATCAGTAACTCCCATAATAATAATAATAATAATAATAAATAACAAGCGCTGATATGCAATCTTACAAGAAAAAAATAATTTAGAGACGAATTGGGTCTGTTGCTTAGGGGGTTTGTATTTTTTTTTTTAAATCTTTAATGTCCCGTCTCATCTCAACTCAATTCAATAACCACAGGACTGAAACTTTTTCTAGTAAAATACTGTTTTACCCAAAGGTGAAACGCCGTGCGCTGTTTGTGGACAGAGACGCGGCACCGCGAAACCCGGAGCAGAGCGCAAACGGGATTGAGTCTGGGTTTGGAGGAGTGAAGATCTGGGAGATAGAGAGGGATGTGGAATTAATTAAACTTGTGTAAATAATTAATCTATCCAATGCAACGAAAAACATTTTATTAATCATTACAATTATTTTTTATTTACTTTATCATTAGGCTATCTAATATTTATATATTTAATAGCCTAGACATTCTGAGTAGGCTAGCAGTTTTACTGTCATGATCTCCAGCTGGAGTGCCCATGAGCTCCTCTAGAGGGCACTCCATTCTGTACCTTGCCATTCACTCAGGACTCCATTTCCCATAATCCTTTGCCCGGACTCATCAAGTGCATCACCTGTCTCACGTTAGTAGAATAGCACTCACACTCTCTGTTACCGCTGGTGATTGAATGTTGTATAGCTCTTCCGTGGTTTCTAAGTTTCCGTGTTTCTAGTTTCTCTGTTTCCTTGCCTTCGTGTTTTGATCCCTGGACTGTTTTCTTGTTAATTAATGTTTTGCTGCCTGCCCCTGACCATTGCCTGATTATCTGGATTACTCTTTTGCCTTGCCACTGCCATCGTTGTTTGCTGTTGTTGACCACGCCTGTTTGACTACGCTCTTATTAAAGCCTTGCATTTGGATCCCCACTTTGTCGTCACGCCTCCCTCGTTACAGAATCACCAGCCACACCCGGATCCAGCGGCTTTCTGAGCATTCCAGGCCATCCATGGACCCAGTTGACCAGCTACTACGTCTTCAGCAAGGAGGCTTATCTATTGAAGAGTGTGTTCACCAGTTCTGTGAGTTATCCTATCTAGTACCGTTTGATGAAATTGCTTTAAAAGTCATTTTTCGTTTTGGACTCAACGAGTCTGTGAAGTCATGGTTTCCTGGAAGAGAATTCAAATGTACTTTGAGAGACTTTATGGATTATGCTCTTTTGTTATGTGGTTCTCCCTTTACCGTGGGAGAGGCAAAGTCTCTTTCCAAAATGGCCACCAGCTCAGAGACCATTCACAAAATGGCTGACAAACCCAGAACCTGTTCTCAAGATGGCCACCACACCACAGCCTTCTACTGTCATGTTTGCTTCTCCTGAGTCTCGTCCCGTAATGTCCACCGTTCCAGAGTCTCTCTACAAGATGGCTGCCAACCCAGAGACTCTCCACGAAATGGCGGCCACACTAGAGCACGCTCACAAAATGGCGGACACAACAGCGCCCCATTATGTCACAGCTTCCATTCCTGAGTCAAGTCAAGTCACAGCTAATCTTCATGAGTCAAGTCAAGTCTCAGCTGGTCTTCCAGAGCATCGTCACGTCTCAGCTGATCTTCCAGAGCATCGTCACATCTCAGCTGTTCTTCCAGAGCATCGTCATGTCTCAGCTGATCTTCCAGAGCATTGTCACGTCTTGGCTGATCTTCTAGAGCATCGTCACGTCATGGCTGATCTTCTAGAGCATCGTCACGTCTCGGCTGATCTTCCAGAGCATCGTCACGTCTCGGCTGATCTTCTAGAGCATCGCCACGTCTCGGCTGATCTTCTAGAGCATCGTCACGTCTCGGCTGATCTTCCAAAAGCTTGTCATGTCAAGCCTGCTCATGCCAAGCTTGCTCATGTCAAGCCTGCCAAGTCAAAGCCTGCTCACAACAAGACTGCCACGCTAAAGCCTGCTCACATCAAGTCTGCCAAGTCAGAGCCTGCTCATGTCAAGCAACAGTCTTCAGCCATCATGGATGCTACTCCAGTGTTCCAGAGCATTGTGAATGTTGCATTTGAAGACACTAAGTCAGTCCCAAGGCATTCGAGCCTGGCATCCAGTGTGGAGGACCCTCAGCTTGTGTCAGTGCAAGCTGCTGGCATTCCAGGGGTCTCTACGCTCACGAGTCATGCAGACTCTACACTCACGAGCTTCGCAGAATCTACGCTCACGAGTAACACAATTTCAATATTCTCAAGCCTGCTGGCCGCCACTCCCCCCAGTTCCCCAGGCACTGCACCGTCAGTCTTGGAAATAGACAATGTACTCTCTGTCCTGCCAGTTATGGCTATGGCCATTCTCTGTGTTTGGGCCGCACACACCGCTGTAGAACCTCCCGAGGTGGTGGCGCCCACTTTACTCCCCAAATCTGATCCCAAGTCTAGCCCAGAGAAGGCTCCTGATACCAATTTTAGCCCAGAGAAGGCTTCTCTTCCCGAGTCTAGCCCAGAGAAGGCTACTGATCCCAAGTCTAGCACAGAGAGGGCTTCTGTTCCTGAGTTTAGCCCAGGGAGCGCTTAGGTTCCAGAGTCAAGCTCAGTGTTCGCTCCAGCCCCTGACCTTAGTCTAGTGAGGCCTTCAGCCCCTGAGCACAGTACAAAGATGACTTTAGTCCCCGAGTTTGCCCCAGAGTTCACTCCAGTCCTTGAATCTGTCCCAGAGTTCATTCCTGTTCCCTCCAAGGTGGCAACATCCGTTGCAGAACCTCCTCTGACAAAAGCAGGACTCTTTCCCGAGCTCATGGTGTTCCCTGTCACCTCTGTCTCTACCACAGACACTATTGTCAAACTCTCCCTGTTACCTGATGCCTCTGTTACGGCCGTGAGTGCGATCTCTGAACCATCTGTGTCTGTTGAAGCTCCTCTTGCTATTGCTGCAGAACCTCCAGGGTTGGCGGGCGTGTTCGCTTCAGCTCCTCATAAGACAGGGGTGCCCACTTATGAACTCTATGTCTGTACTGACGAGGTCATGGAGACCATCAGTGAATCCCCTTTTATACCAGTCTCGGCCCTAGAAGCCAATCATGAATTCTCAGCACTGCCTATTACGGTTGCTAAGACTGCTTCTGAACTCACAATCCCGGTCAAAGAGGCCTCTCCCGAATTCTCTGTTTGCCCTGTCATAACCAAAAAGGTCGTCTGTGAACTCTCTGCCTGTCCTGTCACGGCTATGGAGGCCGTTTGTAAACTCTCTGCCTGTCCTGTCACAGCTATGGAGGCCGTCTGTGAACTCTCTGCCTGTCCTATTATGGCTAAGAAGGCTGTTTCTGAACCCTCAGTCTGTCCTATCACGGCTATGGAGGCTGTCTGTGAATTCTCTGCCTATCCTGTTACGGCTAAGAAGGCCGTTTCTGAACTCTTAGTCTGTCCTGTTCCGACCAACAAGGTTGTTTCGGAAGTCTCTGACATTCCAGCCACGGTTATGGCTAAAGATGCCATTTCTGAACTGTCTGCCAGTCTTGTTACGGCCGCTGAGGCCATTGTTAACCTCTCTGTGCTCTATGTTCCAGTTCTGCCTGATCCGCCTTGGTGGTATCCTGCACCATCAGCTCCGCCCTGGTGGTCTTCTGCTCCGCCTGCTCAGCCATGGTGGTCCTTAGCTCTGCTCTGGTGGTGATCTCCAGCTGGAGTGCCCATGAGCTCCTCTAGAGGGCACTCCATTCTGTACCTTGCCATTCACTCAGGACTCCATTTCCCATAATCCTTTGCCCAGACTCATCAAGTGCATCACCTGTCTCACGTTAGTAGGACTATAAGAATAGCACTCACACTCTCTGTCGTCGCTGGTGATTGAATGTTGTATAGCTCTTCCGTGGTTTCTAAGTTTCCGTGTTTCTCTGTTTCCTTGCCTTCGTGTTTTGATCCCTGGACTGTTTTCTTGTTTATGATAGTTTTGCTGCCTGCCCTTGCCATTGCCTGATTATCTGGATTACTCTTTTGCCTTGCCACTGCCATCGTTGTTTGCTGTTGTTGACCACGCCTGTTTGACTATGCTTTTATTAAAGCCTTGCATTTGGATCCCCACTTTGTCATCACGCCTCCCTTGTTACATTTACATCTCACTCTAAGTTGTATTCTGTATTTATAACTGTGTAGGCTATGTGAAGAATACAATTCTTAAAATTTTGAAAATTGCTATGTATAGCCTACTCTTCAAATAAAGCGCTAATCTAAGTAGCCTACAAAAGGTAAAAAAAAAATTGCGATTGTTGCATTCTGGACAGAGTTCGTTAATGTCTCAATAAATTTTTCAACTTTATACAAACCAAATCTAAACATTAAATCTTATTAATTAAACATTTTAGAAACAACCATAGCCTAGTAACTTGTTAGTGGAAAAATACAGCCATGTCACGTTACAACTTTTAAGGAACATTTGACAGTGTTTGACTACTTAAAAAAGAAAA